CATATCTAAAGTAGCCAGGCTAGAACCTCAGTCCATAATTGTATCCAGAACTGGATACCATAGGAGAGATTTTCCACTGTGTGTGTATACTGAAAAAGGTAAACTTATTTACATATATAAACAGACACATCCATCCAGTTTGGGTGTATATGTGACAGTAACTGCTGTGCAGTTGCAGAGGTTAAGTGAAAAAAATTAATATGAGTATATAGTTCTTTCTATATATAGATATATAAAGTTATTCATTACTTTTATTGGTGACAATGATTTTGTTCCTTTAACAATTCTGAATACAGCTAGGTATTATTTTTCTTTGTACTTCCATCGGTGGACTGGAAATTTTCTATGGCCAGTTACCAAAGCGTCCATATTTGTTTATTGTTGCTGCAATCTAGGGCATGTTCAAGGACGTAACTTCTACAAGTCATCTTCATGTCTGTGTAGACTACAGAACCAAAAGTGAGATTGATTCACAGGGGAAAATGCACCCAGCTGTGGCTTTTTTTTCCTATTGACCATCTATTTCTGTTAAACGTATCATTAAAAGTTCTCTGCCTTGCTGTTAGCTCAGCCTTCCCCATGTGACACTGATTTACATGCTTGTTTACAGTTTACGAGGAAGAATAAAATGAACATACTGGCAAGCTTCTCATTTTTATGGTGCCAGTTGTCATGCTAGCATTGCTTTCAATCTACTTACCTTTGGACAGTCTTCTTATCTGGTGCTAATAGATTTAACCACTTAAAGTTTTAAACATGTGAGAGATTCCCCCCCCCCCCATCCTAATTTTTGGGAGGTAGAAATAAAAAGAAAGAGAGAGAGAGAGAGAGAAAGAGCGGAAACATTTGGAGCTGAGCGCACTGTCCCTGTTTGCTATGTAAAGTATGCCTCATTTCTTTGATCTTGAGTAATAATAATTCTGGGGAGTTATACTGTTTTCATATGCTTCAAAGCTGTGTCAAAGTTTTGCTGCTTAAGGGTACTTCTTTATTCTATTGGCTCTTGGGTACTGAGATGACAGGTCCTCTGTACTAGGTGCAGGCTTTTTCAAGTCATAGCCTTCAGCAAAACATCAAATTACCAAATACAGGGTAACATACTTCTACACAAATGCCTTTCCTGTAGATATATTATACCATATATATTAAATACTTTAGTGTTACACGGTACATTTTATGTGCAATAGAAAGTGATGGTTTGAGGTAGCCTTAGGGGTACTTTTTTCCACAAGCAGAAAAAGCTAGTGTATACCGTATCAAGTATGGTTTTTACAGGACTTTCTGCCCGAAGGCCTTTGTAAATAAGTAATGATCAACAGATTGGCTGTGGGTTTTTGAAAAGCATGCCTGTGTCAGTTTGCATGATGGGGGAAGATTTTCAAAGTGGAGCCTGCTTTCATTGCCTGCTGAAGAGGGACTGAGGGAGAGTAGTCGTCCTGAGCCTGAGCTGTCTGCTCAGTAGCACATCAGAATTGCTAAATACAGGTCGAGCAGCGAGTGGAGAACTTGCCAGGCTTCCAAAGCCAGACATTGTTTTCTTCCTCTTCTCCCTTGCTGCTAAATTTATGCACCAGCTCTGTGCTGGCACCCTCCACCTCTCCCCAGACCCAGCCATGTCTTTGTCTTACCCTTTATCTACGCTGACTTCATTTTGGTTCAAGGTGCTAAACAGGAGAAAGTGGATTGAATCAGAAGAGAACTCGGTTAAGCTTTGTGTGTAATGGCCAAATGCTTTTCTTCTTTCCGATAAACAAAGGTGGGCTGTATTATCTGCTGTTTTGTCTCCTCCTAAATTACCTGAAGTGACAGGTACTTGCTTTCCTGCCCAGAAATCTTTAGTGTATGTCAGCTAAAAGTACACAAGAGGTAAATCAGCTAAAGCACTGTCATGTCTGTAGCTGATATTTATCTTTGCAATATTTTTTCCTGAATTTGCTTTAAAAGCTCCTTTTCAAAGCCGGCTTCATCCCTGTCCCTCCTCAGCTGTGATCCTGCATCTAGAGGAGGCCTGGAGGACAAGAAGTCTGGAGCACATAAAGGAGGAATATGTGCAAAGCTCATTTATAAATTGTCATCAGAGCTGTGACTCTGTAATTACTTTCTGAGCAGCCCTATGGTGAAGATAGTGTTGAAAATTCTGCATAGATTTTAGATTTCTGCAGTGACTGGGGCAAATTGGGAAAGGTATTATGCCATGAGAGAAAACTTGGACTTCTGCTGTCACTGGAGTAGAACAGAGGACAGAAGCTGTACAATAGGTATTCCCAGGGACGTCAGGAGAAGAGGTCTGACAGGTGCTTACTTGGACCTGGTCAGAAAGTGGGAATTTTTGAGATTTACTCACGCAGAAGTAGAAAGATGAATTACCAAGTACAATTCGCATAGATAGATTGAAGACATCTTTTCGATGTCATCTTTTTGATGTTGCTGTCTCTAAATGCCAAGAATTTACGAACTGAAATGAATAGATGGTAGGCATGCAGATGTTCTTTGTATGTATCGCAGACGGTCTAGATTCATGTTCAGAAAGTCACTGTTCTAACTGAATCCTGCATCGCATCAAATGACATGAGCAGAATCGCACTGATGCAATACTGGAAGAATCTAATCAATCAGAAACAAATCCTTTAAATTCCAACTGTGGCTAAAAATGTGAATTAACTAGAAAAATATTCTGTGTTGTCATGAGTATTTCTATCTGTTTTACAGCAACAGAAGTCTGTGGAGATGTGAACACAAGGACATCCTATTACAATAAAAATTAAAATAAGAAGTAGAAGGAAAAGGAAGGAAAGCTGCGAGCAGCAGAGTAAACACATATCAGGTCTCCTTCATGAGACAGAGAAGTAGAACCATTTGATACCTCAGGTGTCATGCAGTGATGTCAAGTCCCCTGTTCATCATTTAGTCACAGATTTGATGCATGTTACTGATGAACAGCCATGTTAAATGTGAGGAGGCTGTGTCGCCTGACTATCAAATAGCAAAGCTAGTTTTAAAAAAAAATGTGTCATTCTGGATTCCAGAATGACCGGTAAAAATTTGAAAAGCCCTGTATATGCATCAAAAAAGCCACTTAAAAGGATTGTTGCTGGGGCTCAAGTCCACACTTAAAGCTCTGGTAGCTGCTACTGCATGAGTGGAATACACTGACTTGAAGGAAATGTCAGCCCAGCTGAGTCGAACTACCTCTTAATGCAAGAACAAATAGCATATGACAGGGCCCAAGGGGCCTGAAGAGCAAACAAATAGTTTGTCCCTGTCCACTCTGAATGTAGTGGTGCAGTTGACATAGGCCTCTAGACAAGTAGCATACTCAGCAAAGGGTCATTATCATTAGTGTCCCTGATCACATAAGAATCAGAGGCATCAGAGGACACTGGGTTTTCAGTGTGTTGCCAAGTAGAATTTCATAAGCCTGAGGATTTTTCTTGATCAAGGATCTAAAATAATTCCCAGCCAAACCATAAAACTTGCTCAGAGACTGTCAAGACTCAGCTAAGTGACATGGAAAAAAGTGAGCTTTTTGGCATACCTTTCTGGAAACCTAATGAGATTATTTATCTGAAGTCGAGGGGGAAATAATATGCTAAGTATATGAACAATGGCTCTCATCCACCCACCCAGCTACGTATACTCAGATGAACTCACACATTTCTGCTAATGCCACTCAGGGTGAATTTGCATTGCCCCTGCCATCACAGTGCTGCGCTTCCATGAGCTGAGACTGTGAGCTATCTCATAGGAACCGGAGAGAGCGATGGGAGGTCTAGAGGGGAACATTTCTCAAGCAAAAACTGGTAAAATAAGCTCAGACTGATCATTTTCCATGACTCCCCTAAACCAGGCATCAAGGTAAGGTTTGAAGAAGTGAAAGCTCACTGGTTAACCATAGCAATGGTTTATGTTTATGTCCCTCAGCCTTGAAAGATTTCCATCATGTACTCTAAAATGTACAACCTTTGTTAAGGGTTTAGAAGGCTAACTTTATGCAGTGCTAGTAAGCAAGGATCGCTCATCTTCAGCATGGCAGGTATTTAATAGCACGTTTTGTGGCCTGATTCTGCTTTACAAGTTCAC